TTGTGTTTACTTTTGCTTTATTTAATTTCAAGTTGACGAAATATTTTCTGTCCTTGAGTATAGTATGAGTAGTGGCACAATCTGCAAGACATATATCTCCATTTTGGATTCAAGATCAATCCATGATCTAAAAGAAAACAACATTTATTATTGATTAAAATCGAAATACAGATAATAATACACAAATACAACAAAACTAAGAAAGCAATAAAAAAAACATGATCATCAGTTATTCTCTTAGTCATTTCCAGCTTGGTCTTCAACTACCGCATCAGCAAAATCCAGGTTCAATATGTCATTGATGCCATATTCATCATCCACACGTGTTGAATCATTTTCAGAGGGTTCCCCAATCATAAAATTGGTTTCTATATTCTTATCTTTTGATTTCTGGGAATTGTTATAATTATCAACGACTTGTCTCGGAGCACGACAATTGCGTGCCCAATGTCCCGTTTTTCCACATCGATAACATGCCTTTTCATCATTATTCTCCGTCACATTATTCTGTTCAAATTTTGGTTGGAAATTTCTCCCCTTTCAAAATTTTGGGCATAGTTACGGCCTCGCCCCACGATTATGTCCCCGGCCCGAGTTATACCCTCGGTGAAATTTGTGGATTTGGTCAAATCGGCAATCTGGACCATATCCACGGCCACGGCCACGTCCACGTCCACGACCCCGGCCACGTCCCGAGGTATATCCACGCACATATGTTTGGCTGTTTTCAGTTCCGGTTCCCTGTTTAGATATTACAACATTTATTTCAGGGACCACAGTAGACCCCGTGGGTCTAGATTCATGATTTTCATCAACAATTCATTATTTTGTTCAGCCAACAGCAAACAAAAAATTAACTCAGAATATTTCACAAAGCCTTTTGCTCTGTATTGTTGCTGCAAAAGTACATTTGAAGCGTGGAATGTGGACAACGTTGTTTCCAGCATATCGTAATCAGTTATGTTTTCTCCGCATAATTTCAATACCGAGCAAATGCGGAACATGGCTGAATTGTACTCGTTTACAGTTTTGAAATCTTGGAAGCGTAAATGCATCCATTCATAACGAGCCCGGAGGAGAATCACCGTTTTCTGGTGATCATACCTTTCTTTCAAGGCTTTCCAGAGATCTGCAGGATCTTTTACAGTTAAATATTCATTTTTCAATGTCTCATTCAAATGATGCCTCAGAAATATCATTGCTTTAGCTTTATCCTGTATTGATGAATCATTAGGGGAGATTATTGTTTTTTCTAATCCCCTTGCCGCCAAATGAATTTCGGCATCCAATGTCCATGAGATATAATTTTTCCCAGATATATCGAGAGCTTCAAATTCGAGTTTGACCAGATTTGCCATGATAACTATAAAATAAAACATCAATTCTTAGATTCAAAAAATTACATATACAATCATTAATTCTTCAATACGTACAAAAGAGCAAATACTAAACACATTATACAATTGTCTATTACATAAAATATAAATTCAGCATAATGATACAACATTGCGAATATTACTAAAGCGTATATAATAAACAATATAATGGTAATTATAACTAATGGATCAAACATTTTTTTTTTCTTATTCTTATTTAAAAAAATATTTTGAGTGTTTGGATTATGAAAATGAATTGTAGTGTTATATATAGATATTGGTAAATAGCCGTTGCAATATAACCGTTAAGTAGCCATTGGAACCAAATTTAATGATATAATATTTGCTAATTAATCATTTATGATGATAAAATTCTAATTAATCATGTATATTACCTTAAAGATTTTTCCGAATTATTTGACGACCATTTTCGTGGATATAACAAAGCAAGTAAAAAATGCTCCACATTATTTGATAAATTTTACGGTGAGTACAAGAATAAACAGTTATAAATTTCACGCCACATTACTGGGTAAACTATTTTGTGGGTGTTAAGTATAAGTAATAATATTATTTATTATAACTTGAATAATAATTCATAAGAAAATTTAATAATATCATCTTACCACATATTATTGACTGTGGCATAGCCTAATTTATCAATAATAATGGTAATGTGTAAATAATATCATATTTAGT